TGATAGGCTATTAATGGTATTATAAGAGGTAATAATGAACTGATAATGAGGGGTATTTTGCCCCCATATTTGATAGGCCTATCATTTCTGACACAAGTCTCATACGTATATTGATTTTGAATAATATGTATGATTTTCAGTGAAATAATGTCCCATGTCAATTGTATTGAATATGATTTCCAGATATTAAGTGTTTGTTTTTGCCTTATCTAGCAACTTATTATTCGTATTAAGTCTTATGTTTTTTGTATTTAATTTGAGTTTTATTGCTCATCAAAAGATTTCTAAGTTTTTTATTTGTCGCAAAATTATTGTTTTAACTTTATAAGCTCATTTATTTCTACCACTGTTTTGTCAATTATAATTTATAACTATTATTTTATTAGCATAGTTGTATTTTATAGCATGCTATTAGAGTTTAGTTAATTTAACCGCACTTTTAATCACTGAATATATTATTACATAATTTGTTTTAATTTATAAAATATAAAACACACAAAATATGAAAATTGTCATTGAAATTAATCACCAAAAATTATAAAGAATAATCTCTTAAAATAAGTTTGAAAATTATTTAATTACTACATACAGCTTAATATAACTTTAATAAAATTTTTATATTACTTTATTGTAATAAATTATTACTAATAATCAAACATAAGTTTCAAACTACTAATAATTTCATTGTCATTATAAGGTATAGAAAATTATAACATAATTTAATCCAAAACAAGATATTTTGTACTTAACTGATATAAACTTAGTAATTGTAATTGTAATGAGTATTTATAGAAAATTACTAAACTTTGATAATAAAACAGATTTAATTGGTAATAAAAACTTATTATAATTTTAAAGTTTACAAGTAAAGTCACAATCAGTTTAAAACAAAAATTGTTAGCATTTAATTAATTTACAATTTCTTTAACCAATTCATATGAGTACTCATAGTCACAAACGGAAGACTACTTTCCTTTTCAGTCACATCCCTGTGCTGACAGCGTATTCACACGTATTTTCATTACAAGTGAATTTAAATCACTTTTCAATATATAATTGCAATCAAATCGTTGACTATTTCCTGAGACAATGCGCCCACCATTAGGACCGACCCATAAGCCAAACATCGCGGCGTCGCCTAAATCTGCCATAAAGTCGTCCAAAAAAGTGCATTTCCCTCGCAATTCAAATTGGATGAAAGAGATCCGGCGCTACCAGACGTCCGTCGACTGTCTCATACC